CTGCTAGGCTATTTTAAGTCTGGTGAAAGACAATAAATAAATATTACAATTGAAATGCCCTGGAATACCCTGGACAAGAATTAAAACCTCTGCTCATCTCTCTCATGTTCCTCTTTGTCAGAATGCTAGAAGAAAAAAGACTAAGATGAACAGACAAGACGAAACCTTTGTAAAACTTTGGTTCCATTGGAGACACCAACCTAAAGAGAGACACTACCTTTACTTTTGTCAACTAACTTTTGTTTAGAAAGATACTTAGAGCAGGGCGCCTGGGGGGCTCAGTCAGTTGAGCATCAGACTTCAGCTCAGGTCATGATCTTGCAGTTCGTGCGTTCAAACCCCATGTCGGGCTCTGTGCTGACAGCTCACCTGGAGCCTGCTTTGGATTCTGCGTCTCCCTCTCTCTCTGCCCCTCCCCTCTCATATTCTGCTTGTCTCTCTCTCTCAAAAATAAATAAACATTAAAAAAATTAAAAAGAAAGATATTTAGAGCGATAAACAGAAGAGTTTTTGACTTGAAATCTCTACAGAGTACCCTGGAAACAATACAGGGTGTTGCCCAACTCCAGGGGATGCTATTCACAGTATTTCTAGGTGAATGGCAACCCCTTGAAACACAGTATGAACGGTGTCCTCACAGTTGTATAATGTTGCTGTCCTGCTAGGAAGCAGCATAACTTGTCTATTAATCTCAAAATTATAAGGTGGCAAGATAAGCAGATGGCATTGATAGTCCCAATAATCAAAGTCTATTTTGTTCCCAAAGAAAGCTATTATTAAACATAGTCCAGAGAACTTAGTTTCTATTCATCTCATCAGTGGCTACCAAGAAGGTCCAGCCAATCTAAGTAAGCCTACAGTATTTCTGATTTCTAGGTGCCTATTTTATTTTATTTTTATTTTTAAATATTAATGTTTATTTATTTCTGAGAGAGAGTGGGAGAGAGAGCATGAGTGGGGGAGGGGCAGAGAAAGAAGGAGACACAGAATCCGAAGCAGGCTCCAAGCTCTGAGCTGTCAGCACAGAGCCCAACGTGGAGTTTGAACTCTGCAACCATGAGATCACGACCTGAGCCAAAGTCAGATGCTTAACCGACTGAGCCACCCAGGTGCCCCAACTAGGTGTCTGTTTGAAAGACAAATGTTAGACCCTAGGAATTTCAGGTTCCTACCGTGCTGTGGAGTATGATTTGCATACACACTTCCGAAACATCATTAATCAAGGGAGTTTAGGATTCCACACCTTATCTCTCACACACACCTGTTCTTGCTAGAAATGAATAAGTAGATAGCAACTGCAGCTGCACAGTGGCTTTACTGATTTAAGGAACATCATTAGTCTCATCTTTAAAGCTGGAGTATTATGGCAAAGCTTCAAGGGTGCTTCTAATATATAGTTCTTTTCAGAGTCAATTGCCATTAGGACACATTTTTAAAATGTCATTCAGAAGCTGTTTTTTTTTTTTTTTTTTTAAGATAGGCAGTTTTAAAGTTAACAACAACAACAACAACAAAATAACCTTTTAAGCAAGTGCATTTTCAAGGATGAAATAGAATATCCTGGACAGGTTTCATCATATTAACCACTGTTGTATGTAGGACCCAACAAATTAAGAAAATTTTTTTTTCAACGTTTTTTATTTATTTTTGGGACAGAGAGAGGCATAGCATGAACAGGGGAGGAGCAGAGAGAGAGGGAGACACAGAATCGGGAGCAGGCTCCAGGCTCCGAGCCATCAGCCCAGAGCCTGACGCGGGGCTCGAACTCACGGACCGCGAGATCATGACCTGGCTGAAGTCGGACGCTTAACCGACCGCGCCACCCAGGCGCCCCAGGACCCAACAAATTTAAATGAGGTTTGCCTCCTTTGATATAAAATAAGAAAAAATGAACTCCCATTTCTTCTTTCCACATTATATAGAGAATGTTAGTCCTTAACTTTTACTGGGTCACAGACACTTTGAGAATATGATGTAAGATAGGGTATGTCTTCTAAGAAAGACACTCAGATACATATACACAAACATTAGTGTAAATTTTTAGGGATTATTGACTCATAAAATCTACTCATAGACACTTTAGTTTCAAAGCCCCAATCTAGAGGGTAGTGTAGTTTTAAGAACTCAGAATAAAATCCACTTAGGGACGCCTGGGTGGCTCAGTCAGTTAAGCAGCCGACTTCGGCTCAGGTCATGATCTCGCGGTCCGTGAGTTCGAGCCCCACGTTGGGCTCTATGCTGACAGCTCAGAGCCTGGAGCCTCTTTCAGATTCTGTGTCTCCCTCTCTCTCTGCCCCTCTCCTCCTCGCGCTCTGTCTCTCTCTCTCTCAAAAATAAATATTAAAAGAAAAAAAAAGAATAAAATCCACTCAGTGTCTAAAGAAGAAAAAGTGTGTGTGTGTGTGCATGCACTTTAGCATTAATTTGAAAATAAGTCACCTTGCAGACCAAGCTGCAAGAAATTACAGAAATATTTTCTTTTTTTTAACATTTATTTATTTTTGAGAGACAGAGAGAGAGAGAGCGGGAGTGGGAAAGGGGTGCAGAGAGAGACAGAGAGAGAGAGAGACAGAATCTGAAGCAGTCTCCAGTCTCTGAACTGTCAGCGCAGAGCCCAACGTGAGACCCCATTCCACAAACCGTGAGATCATGACCTGAGCCGAAGTCAGACGCTTAACCGACTGAGCCCCCCACCAAGTGTCCCCAGAAATCTTTTCCATTGTTGTCTTTTTTTAAGATTTTATTTTTTATTTTATTTTAATGTTTTTAATGTTTATTTATTTTTGAGAGAGAGAGAGAGAGAGAGAGACAGAATGCAAGTGGGAGAAGGGCAGAGAGAGGAGACATAGACTCCAAAGCAGGTTCCAGGCTCTGAGCTGTCAGCACAGAGCCCTACATGGGGCTCGAACTCATGAATAGCAGGATCATGACCCGAGGTGAAGTCAGACACTTAACTGACTGAGCCACCCAGGCACTCCTAAAGATTTTATTTTTAAGTAATCTCTGCACCCAATATGGGGCTCAAACTCACAACCCCAAATCAAGAGTTGCATGCTCTACTGATTGAGCCAGCCAGGCACCCCTTTTCTATTGTTATCTTTAATGTCAAGGACAAATTTATATAAAAATCCAGCAACATAAAATTTAAAAATTATTCTAAATTAAACTACAATTCAAGGCACACTCTAGGGTTTTTGTTTGTTTTTGTTTTTGATAACAGAAAACATATTCATTCCATATTTCTCTATCAGAACGTTTGATAATTTTATTTGGGTTCACAGGTGAAAATACTATGAAAGTTCATTTACATCACACTAAAAGACAACTTGAGCCCATTTGTTTATTTACTTATTTACTGACAATTCTGAGGAATAATTCACATACCATACAATTCACTCATTTAAAACTACACAACTCAGTGGTTTTTAGTAGATTCACAGAGTAATGTAACCATCATCACAATAATTTCAGAATGTTTTCGTCAACCCAAAAAGAAACCCTGTCCCCATTAGCAGTCACTCCCCATTCCCTAGCCCCTAATTATTCCAGTCTTAGGCATCCTACGATCTGCTTTCTTTCCCTACAGGTTTGCCTACTTTGGAAATTTCATATAAATGTCTATACAATATGTGGCCTTCTGTGATTGGCTTTTTTCATTTAGCATGACATTTTGAAGGTTCATCATGTTGTAGTAAATATCAGTACTTTATTTCTTTCTATGGCCAAATATTCTATTATATAGCTATACTATACTTTGTTCATCTATTCACCAGTTGATGGAGATTAGGTTGTTTTCAACTTGGGGCTCCTATGAAGAACATTACTATAAACACTTGTGTACAAGTTTTTGCGTTGACCAGCCCATTAAAAGTATAAAGAGAACTCTTATAATTATAACAAAACTATACAGAATTTATTATGCAGTCATGTCAGACTTTTCAAGATTCAACAATTTGCATATCCGGCATCACAAAGCTCATCATGACCGGGAAATTGGCATCATTACTTTATCATAGAATCAGAGGAGATTAGATGTTTTCTAAGATCCCTTCTTACATTAAATCAATGATTACTTTCTGTTTTGTCTCCATGCACAGAAAAGAAAGATAGGTTGTAGACATCTCCTGGTCCTGCGGAAATTATCAACAAACATTACTGAGCGCCTTACAAGCAGCAAGCACAACTGTGCACATGTACCTGGGTTGTAGATGGAAGTAATACACCAAGTATGACTTGCCAAGCTACTCTGAGTTCCCCATTCTAGTGTGAAGTACTTGACTCCCTCACTATTTCTCAACTGTGTTTTGCCCACTTTAATACTGTTATGCTTTTGACATTCTTCCTCTCTTTCTGGTAACTACTTCTGCCTCTCCTTGAGCAACTTTCCATTCTCACTCACAAAGACCCTCATTGTTGATTCAACCCTGCCAACTATCTCCACTCCACCTCGCAGACTAGGGACTAAACTTCATCACAGCTTTGCATGCTGGATTAATGCCCCTCTGGACTCCAGGTTTGCCACATGCTGTGCAAGATGCTCAGGAGGTGCACAATGGATGTTTGTTGAATGACAGATCCATAAGATTTCCTACCAGTGCCACGTGTGTGAGTTTTAAAGGGATAAAATGAATTTGTGGCTTAGTTGCATTTTTCAGTCATTAATTGATGACACCCTTCTCCAATGATCAAAGCACTTGGAAGCCTCAACTTATTCATGAGTCTCTTTCCTTAGCTATTTTGGTATTAACACAGTTTATTCAGTGGGATTGAAATAATTTACTTGATAGGGACAGATTCAGAGGCATAGGAAGCACACTCCTAAAGATTTGACCCATTAGAATAATCAGACAGAAGACCCAAAGAGAAAGTTTATCTAACCAATTATTTCCTTTGCTTTGTATTTCAGAGCAATCTTACTTTGGATTTTCAGATGTAATTTCAGTGAAATTCAGTGAGCATCACCTGATGTCAGCATGTGAGGCACAACCTGGAAGGCTGAATCACAATTTACTGCTAGGGGATCCTGCCAAGCTTTGCCATTCTTTCAGAGGAGGGTTTCCTAAGGAAGCCAATTTTTTCAGATAGTCACAGGGCTCTAGTTGTGGAATATCAAGATTCTGCCTATAATATTTCTGCAACTTCTCTAGCACTGTCGGCAACCCAACTGTGGAGGCATAGAACATGGGCCCACCCACGTGCCTTGGCCATCCATACCCATGTAAATAGACAACATCAATGTGCTCTGGAGTAGCAGCTATCCCTTCTCCCAAGATACGGAATGCTTCATTGATGAGTGAATATAAGCAGCGCTCAAGGATCTCATCCTGGCTAATGATGCGTGGTTCAATGTGATAGGTTTCTCTGTACTGTGACAGAAATTCAGAAAGCCTGGGATCAGGTTTGTGAATCCTACCCAATGGCTTATCATATTGGTACCAACCCTTACCTGTCTTCTGGCCAAATCGTCCTAATTCACAGAGCATATCGGGAATTGGGCAATATCTCTCATTGCCCCGCTTTCGGGCAGGAGTTCCTGGAGGCAACGTAGGTCCAGTAAGGCCTTGCCCTTGTCGACATTTCCAACCCACATCCAATCCAGAAAGATCTGACACTCTAAAAGGTCCTATTTTGAAACCAAACTCTTCTAGCACCTGGTCTATCTCTTCTGGCTTACTGCCTTCTTCTAACAAGAAATATGACTGATTGTAATAATGCTTTAACATTCGATTGCCAACAAATCCCTTACAGTTACCTACAACTACTCCAATTTTTTTAATCTTTTCTGATAAATTCATAACTGTGGCAATAGTAGTAGGGGAAGAGTATTGGCTGGGAATAATCTCTAACAACCTCATGATATGAGCTGGTGAGAAGAAGTGAGTGCCAATGACCAAGTGAGGGCGATCAGTGGAAGAAGCAATCTCATCAATGTCCAGGGCTGAAGTATTGGTGCACAAAAAAGTTTCTGGCTTGCACACAGCTGACAATTCAGCAAAGACTTGCTTCTTCAAGTTAATTTCCTCAAATACTGCTTCAATTACTAAATCTACACCACCAAGCTCTTTCATAGACGTAGTTAACCTGGGTTTTGGTCCTGACCAATGGTGGCTGCTATGCTGCATTTTGGATGCTTCCTTTTCCAAAACGGAGGTTATTATCCCATCGGCAGTCTCTAGCTGCTTCTTGTCCAATTCTACAGCAATCACAGGGATCTTGGCCTTTGCAAAAGAAATTACGATGCCTCGGCCCATTGTTCCCAAGCCTGCAGATAAGAGTGAAGCAGAGAAAGAATGATTCAGTGATGTTGGGAACGGGAAAATACTCAGTAAATGAGAGGCTTCTGTGGCAATGGGGCATTTAAAGAGATCAATTCAAGGAATACAAATAGAAGCCGCATTCTTGGTTGAAGAGGACAACCTTCCCTGATACAGAAGGACTGTTCTTTGGTCAAGGGTATATGAGTAGCTGCTAGAACCTCCAAACAAGCTCTCAAGAAATACAAATGGATTGAATATTAGTTAAGATTAGGCACTGTGTTAAGTACTCCAGAGGATGGGACATTCAGTAATATTCACACACACACACACACACACACACACACACACACACACACTATTAGAATTAATAAACAAGTTCAGAAGGTTGCATTATACAAGATCTATATACAAAAATCAATTTTATTTCTATATACTAGCAATGAACAATCTGAATATGAAATTAAGAAAACAAATCTGCTGACAATAGCATTAAAAAGAATAAAATACTTCACAATAAATTTAAGAAAGAATTGTAAGACTTGTACCCTAAAAAACAGAAAACATTGTTGAAATAAATTAAAGAAGACCTAAATAAATAGAAAGACAACCCATGTTCATAGATCAGAAGACTTAATATTGTTAAAATGGCAACACTACCCAAATTGATCTGCAGATCCAATGTAATCCCTATCAAAAATCCAACTGGCTTTTTGCAGAAATTAACATGATATCCCTAAAACCCATATAGAAATACAAGGAATCTAGAATAACCAAAATAATATTGAAGAGGAAGAACAAAGTTGGAGGATTCACTCTTCCCAATTTAAAAATTTATGACAAAGCTATGGTATTCAAGACAGTGTGGTATAAGGATAGACATAATAGAGCAATGAAATATAATTGAGAGTTCTGAAATAATCTCATAACTTATGGCCAATCAATTTTTGATAAGGGTGCCAAGGTAATTCAATGGGGGAAAGGATAGTCTTTTTTCAACAAATTATGCTGGGACAACAGGATATCCATATGCAAAAGAATGATGTTGAACTCCTACCTCACATCATTTACAAAAATTAATTCAAATTGGATCACAGCCTGAAGAGTTAAAACTATAAAACTCTTATGAGTAGGGGCACCTGGGTGGCGCAGTCGGTTAAGCGTCCGACTTCAGCCAGGTCACGATCTCACGGTCCGTGAGTTCGAGCCCCGCGTCAGGCTCTGGGCTGATGGCTCGGAGCCTGGAGCCTGTTTCCGATTCTGTGTCTCCCTCTCTCTCTGCCCCTCCCCCGTTCATGCTCTGTCTCTGTCTGTCCCATAAATAAATAAAAACGTTGAAAAAAAAATTAAAAAAAAAAAAACAAAAAAACTCTTATGAGTAAATCTCCATGACCTTGGATAAGGCAATGGTTTCTTAGACATGATACCAAAAGCATAAGCAACAAAAGAAAAAAATAGATAAATTAGACACCATCAAAATTAAAATTTTTTGTGCTTCAAAGGATGCCATAAAGAAAATAACAAGAACCATGGAATCATATATCTAGTAAAGGACTTGCATCAAAATATATAAAGAACTCTAACAATTCACACAAGATCCCTCATTATTACCAGGATGTAGAAGATGCAGAGAACAACTGTAAGGCCTTGGAGGAGACTGTCGAGCAGGTGCTGGCAAACTATGGTCTGAGGGCCAAATCCATCCCACTGCCTATTTTAGTACTGCTGGTGAGCTAAGAATGGTTTTGTATTTCAAATAGTTGAAAACAACAACAACAACAAAAAAGAATAATATTTTCTGACACATGCGAATTATATCAAATTCAAATTTCAGTCCCATAAATAAAGTTTTATTGGAACACAACCACACTAATTTGACTCCATATTATCTATGGCTGTTTTTGTGTGCAGAGTTGAGCAGTTGTTAAAGAGATGATATGGCCCAGAAAGCCTAAAATATTTATTATCTGGCCCTTAACAAAAAAAGTTTACTGACTCTCTCCAAAGGAGAATGGCAGAGCCATTAGTTGGAAAAAAAAAAACAAACAAACAAACAGAAAACAAAAAAAAAACTGGTCTTAGATGACCATATGGAGCAAGCAGGAAATAAATCTTTATTGTGTTAAACCAGTATTATCTATTACAGCAGCAGGTTATCTGTTACCTAACCAACCCATTGTGGATGAAACCATTTTGTTGATGAAACCCATTGTGGATGAAACCCACTGACCAGCTTTGGGATTGGTTTTGAATACAGAATGCTATCAGTCATCAGAAATCATTGTTTCTCTGGGATATATTTAATTTTCAAATTGTATTAACTTACTTAATATAACAAATATATTACATTATTTGAAAACGTTTAGTTTTCCAAAATTAATAAACATCTGCATTTCACTCAGTAGCAAGAAGGCTGGATAGCTCTCACTGCTATGGCAACTTGTATCCTAAACTTTAGCCTGGGTAAATAGGAGGTAGAGCATGACGTTCAAAACCCTGGCCTCCTGGCTCTCAGTCTCAAGCTCCACATAACATTTCTACCATTATAGAAATTATAATCTCACAGAGACAACAAGGACTAACAAGATGTAGCGTGAAAGCAATTTGTAAAGTGTAGCGTAAGGTAAGTGATATCTCAGAACTGACAACAGAGCAGGGAAGGAAAGGCAACTTCTGAAGGTATAGTTCTTTTTTTTTTCTAATGTTTTATTTATTTATTTCTGAGGGAGAGAGAGTGAGCACCTGAGTGGGGGAGGGGCAGAGAGAGAGAAGGAGACAGAGAATCAGAAGCAGGCTCCAGGCTCCAAGCCATCAGTGCAGAGCCCAAGTCAAGATAAGGGGAGCTGATCAAGTAATGGATGCAGTTGGAATAACCAACTAAAAGATGTGGGAAGATACAAGGTTGTGGGGTAAAGGTTGGATTTGGAATTTCAGAGGTGGAGGAATATTCAGGGTAAAGACAAGACCCATGGTAAAGGCATGAGTAGGGGTCATGGAATTGAAGTATATGAACATTACTGGATCTGAGGAGGCAAAGGCACCTGGAAGGAACAGGACTGGATGCATTGTCCACACGGATGATGAAGACAATCAGGATGGCAGCTGGATTTGGGAGAAAGTGGATAACTGTGAGCCAGGTACCAGAATTTTCAGCCAAGTGGAGGTGGGGGTGGGGGGCGCAATACAGTAATGAGGAGGGACAGAACGATAAGAGCAGATGGCAGAGCTACAGAGGAGTGTCTTGAAAGAGATAATGGTCTGAGAAGGGAATTGGGAAGTGCCACTGGGGCTCCTGGGCCGTGAAAGAAGCAGTAGCATTCTCCTGAGAGGGGTGCCCAGAGTAAGCAAGGTTTCAGGCAGGAGACAGACAAGGAGTCATTAGTGAAGCAGAAGAGGCTGTAGGAGCGTTCCAGAGGGCACTGGGTACAGTGGGAGGCTGAGTCACAATGAACAAGTACAGGGCAGTATGGGGACAGACATGAAGAAGGGGGAGATGACCAAACTCTCACTTTATTTGTATCCAAGTTATCATCTATGTATTTTAAATGCTTTTTCTTCAAAAAAAATTTTTAATGTTTATTTATTTTTGAGAGAGAGAGAGAGAGTGCAAGCAGGTGAGAGGTAGAAAGAGAGGGAGACACAGAATCTGAAACAGGCTCTCGGCTCTGAGCTTTCAGCAGAGAGTCCAACATGGGGCTTGAATTCACAAACTGTTGAGATCAGGAGCACAGCCGAAGTCAGACATTCAACCAACTGAGCCACGCAAGTGCCCCTTAAATGCTTTTACAAATATTTTTCTGAACAATATGGGGTACACTTAAAAAAAACAACTTCAGGGGCACCTAGGTGGCTCAGTCAGTTAAGCGCTCAACTCTTTATTTTGGCTCAAATCATGATCTCACAGTTTGTGAGATTGAGCTCAAATCATGATGTCACAAACTGTGAGATTGAGCCCTGCATTGGGCTCTCCACTCATAGCGCAGAGCCTGCTTAGGATTCTCTCTCCCTCTCTCTCTGCCCTTCCCCAGCTCTTTCCCCCTCTCTCTGACTGAAAATAAATAAACAAACTCAAAAACAAAAACAGAAGCAAAACAACTTCAGATTTTTAGACATTTCATGTCAGACATGAATTTAGAATCTTTTTATAAAGGCTCACAACAAGGAACTAGGGAAACTCTCAAACAATGACTGACCAACACAATACTGATATATTTCACCTTTGCAATTGTATTGCATTAATTATTCTTGGCGTGAAGGAATATAGAGAAGAAACAGGTTAAGTGCACATCAACTAGGAATAAATATTGGTGCTGCTGAAAAAGCACAAAAAAAAAAAAAAGGAACATTCATAGTTCTCTGTCTCACTCTCTCTATCCACCTTGTTTAAAAACTGTAACTAGGGGGTGTCTGGGTAGCTCAGTCAGTTAAGCGTCCAACTCTTGATTTCAGCCCAGGTCAGGATCTTATGGTTCATGGGATTGAGTCCCATGTTAGGTCCTGTGCTGATAGCATGGAGCCTGCTTGGGATTCTCTCTCTCCCTCTCTCTCTGCCCCTCCCCTACTGTGAACATGTGCTTCTTGCTCTCTTTCTCAAAATAAATAAATAAGCATTAAAAAAAGTCAAAAGTGAGCAGAGTCCAGACTGGAAGGAGCACAGTGTGACTGATACAATAGGCCGAGAAGATGTTGAGTGGGCTCTTTTCCTCCAAACTGGGTTGGTGCTGGACAGCTGGGTGAGGGTTAAGAAAGCTGACACTTTCAGGAAACTATGGACTTCCTCCCCCAGAAGACTGTACATAAGCTGACACATATAACATTTTGCTTACCATTTCCGGGGGTTTAAAATCCACCAGAGACCCTTTATCCAATATGTCATTTGCAAATATCTTCTCCTATTCCATCAGTTGCCTTTTAGTTGGTTGTTTCCTTTGCAGTGCAGAAGCTTTTTATCTTGATGACGTCCAACAGTTAATTTTTGTGATGGAATAGGAAAAGGTATTTGCAAATGACATATTGGATAAAGGGTTAGTATCCAAAATCTATAAAGAACTTACCAAACTCAACACCTGAAAAAACAAATAATCCAGTGAAGAAATGGGCAGAAGACATGAATAGACACTTCCCCAAAGAAGACATCCAGATGGCCAACAGACACATGAAAAGATGCTCAACATCACTCATCATCAGGGAAATACAAATCAAAACCACCTTGCAACACCACCTCACACCAGTTAGAGTAGCTAAAATGAACAACTCAGGCAACAAGAGATGTTGGCGAGGATGTGGAGAAACGGGAAGCCTCTTACACTGTTGGTGGGAATGCAAACTGGTGCAGCCACTCTGGAAAACAGTGTGGAGGTGCCTCAAAAAATTAAAAATAGAATTACCCTATGTCCCAGCAATAGCACTACTAGAAGTTTATCCAAAAGATATAGAAGTATTGATTCATAGGGACACATGTACCCCACTGTTTGTAGCAGCACTTTCAACAATAGCCAAATTATGGAAAGAGCCCAAATGTCCATCAACTGATGAATGGATAAAGAAGATGTGGTTTATATATATCATGGAATACTACTTGGCAATGAGAAAGAATGAAATCTTGCCATTTGCAACAAGGTGGATGAAACTCGAGGGTATTATGCTAAGTGAAATAAGTCAGTCAGAGAAAGACAGATACCATATGTTTTCACTCATATGTGGAATTTGAGAACCTTAACAGACCATGGCGGACGGGAAGGGGAAAAATAGTTTCAAAGAGAGAGGGAGGCAAACCATATGAGACACTTAAATACAGAGAACAAACTGAGGGTTGATGGGGGCGGTGCAGGAGAGAGGGGAAAATGGATGCTGGGCATTGAGGGATGAGGCATTTGCTAGGATGAGCTCTGGTGTTGTATATAAGCGATCAATCATGGGAATCTACTCCCGAAGCCAAGAGCACACTGTATACACTGTATGCTAGCTAACTTGACAATAAATTATATTTAAAAAAAAAATAATAAAATCCACCAAAGACCATTCTTGGGTCAAGACTAAGAGCAAAGGAAGATTAGGAAAGTGGCACAAAGAAGCTAATCAGAGGGCTAGCTTCTGAGGAAAGAAGACGTTTTGTTTGGGAAAATCGCTGAGGGAAAAATTAAGGTCACTGTTTCAGGGTGCAGAGAGATTTGAGGAGAGTGATGTTGAATGACGAGAAGTGAATGGATCCAGGGACCAGAAAGGCAGAGCCTTCATTCCAAATACCTAGCTATAAGAGTGACAGACCATACCTTGAAATATGGCACAAGTAATAACCATTGTTGGGAAACCCAGGAGTGAGAGATTCATGCAGGGAAGAGGAGGGGATGAGTAAAAAATGCCCAGAGTCTGGAGTCAGACAGACCGAATGTAGACCCTTACACCGCCTGTGTTTAGCTTACTGTTGAGAAGGTTGGTGTCTCTAGGCCTCACATATAAAATGAAGATAATTCACGGGCTGGGGTGCAAAATAAGTTAGCTACGCAAGTAACGTGTTTAGCATAGAGTCTGATACCCAGTGGCCCTAAGCAAATGGTATCACTTTATATGTGCAGATTTGGAAAATGACTTTAACCACACTATGTTCTTACCGACAACACCAACTGAGGAGATGGGCCGCGCTGACGCCGTTTTCCAGGATGCTCCAGAGGGAGCTGACCACTTATTTGCCTTCCTCTCAGCAAAGAAAGCATATTGCAGGGCTTGAGCCTGCCCTGATTTCTGAAGGTACATAAACAGCTCCTCTTCCTTCTTGATGCCCACCTCATAGGGATACTGTACAGCAGCCTGGACTGCACGGACACAAGTCTCCTGAGAAAGGCACCCAGGATGCTGCTTCCGCATCTTCAAAAGGGCTTCGCTGAAAATTTCGTCCATGTTGGGCAAGCTCTGAATTGGCTTGTTGCAGAGTCTACGGGATTCTAGAGATTGACCTTCCAGAAATAAGAAAGATAATCACATCTTTGGAAATGTTACTTGTACCAAGGGAATATGAGCAAATAATAACAATAATAATAATAATATAACCTATTCAAATTCAAAATACAAAATTAAATGCTATTCATCAAAATACTTAACGTAACACTAATATCAAAATATCTGTTATCTTTGCACCTTAGTCCTGCAAGATAGAATTCAACAGATTCAAAGTAATTTTCAAGTTACCTAATTTCGGCATAAAAATTGCATTTTCCTTCTGTTCCAAAACCGAGACAGTGTTATAGTAGATGAAATATTAAACTCTCCGTAGGTTTCAGGAAAATATTTCTGAGCTAAGAATATTTTAAATCCAAAATAATCTTAACTCTGTTCCTAACAGTAACAAAAATTTAAAAACACCTAGAAAAGAAGGCAGTGCTATATTGGTGCAAGGAGAGACATACAAATCAGTGGAAGAGAACTGAGTGTTCAAAATTTAATCCTGACAATGAGAGCCAACTGATTTTCAACACAGGTGCCAAAACAATTCAAGTGAAGTAAGGAGAGTTTTTTCGATAAATGGTGCTGAAATAACTGGATAGCTACATGCAAAAAAAATAAAAAATAAAAAATAAATGGATCCTTACCTAGAACCATATACAAAAATTAACTCACAGTGGATCATAAATCTACATTGAAGAGCTAAAACTATAAAAATTCCTAGAAGAAAACAGAAAAGCTTCAGGACCTCAGGTTAGGCAAAGTATTCTTAGCATAATCCATGAAAGAAAAAAATCAATAAACTGAACTTCATCAAAATTAAAGACATTGCACTTCAAAGAACACCATAAAGAAAAAGAAATGATTGGGGCACTTGGGTGGCTCGGTCAGTTGAGCATCCGACTTGGGCTCAGGTCATGATCTCACAGCTTGTGAGTTCGAGTCCTGCGTCGGGCTCTGTGCCGACAGCTCAGAGCCCGGAGCCTGCTTCGGATTCTGGGTCTCCCTCTCTCTCTACGCCTCCTCCGCTTATGCTCTGTCTCTCTCTGTCTCAAAAATAAATAAACATTAAAAAAGAAAAAGAAAAAGAAAAAGAAATGATAAGCCATAGACTGGGAGAAAATATTTGTATGGCAGGCAGAGTAATGCCCCCCTCCCCATGTCTACTTCCTAATCCCTAGAACCTATGAGTATGTAACCTTACATGGCAAAGGGACTCTACAGATATGATGAATGTTAAAGAACTTGAGATGTGGAGATTATCCTTTATTGTCTAGATGTTCCCAACTTAATCACATGAGTCCTTAAAAGAGGAGACCCTTTCCCAGCTATGTGGAGAGAGACACTGGTGAGGAGGAAAGGTAAGAGAGACACAGCATGGGGAAGATTTGACCTGTTGGTGATGAAGTGGCTTTGAAGGTGGAGGTAAGAGGCCAAGAATCAGGGAACTCAGTGGCCTCTAAGCCATTCATTTCAACTTACAACCAGCAAGAACTTGGAAATGTTGGTCCTATAACACAAGACACTGAATTGTGCCAACAACCTGACTGAGCAGGAAACAGATTTTCCCCTAAAGCTTCCAGAAAGGAGTACAGCTGCAAACACTGGATTTTAGGCCAGTGAAAACCTCCCACCACACTTCTGACCTATAGATCTGTAAGATAATAAAAATTGGTGTTGTTTAAACTGCGAAACTTGCAGTAATTGTTATCAACAGAAGACTAGTATGATTTACAAATCAAACATCTAATGAAGTATTTGTATCCAGAGTATTTAAAGAATTCTTGTCTCTCAATAGTAAGAAGGCAAACAACTCAATTTTCTAAATGGGCAAAATTTTGAGGGATATTTCACCAAAGAGGATATACGAATGGCTAATACATATGTGAAGAGGTATTCAATATCATCAGTCATTAAGGAAATGCAAATTCAAACCACAGTGATAAAAAACAAACAAACCATAGTGAATGTGGTAGGTAGTCTCTAAGTAATGTCATTTTTGAGATTAAGTTACAAAAAGACTGGCTTCAGTCTTGTTCACCCTCTCTTGCTCTCTCACCTGTTCGTTCTAATGGAAGCCAGCTGCCATATGTGAACTGCCCTTTGGGGAAGCTCATGTGGCAAAGAACTGAAGGAGACCTTCAGCCAACAGCCAACGAGGAACAGGGCCAACACACCCTATGGGACTGAATCTTACTAACAACTACTTGAATGAATTTGGAAGCAGATTCTCCCCCATTCAAGCCTTGAGGTGAAAAGAGCCAGAGGCAATACCTTGAATGCAATCTTTTGTGAAACCCTAAACCAGAGGACCAAACTAACCACATCTACATTCCTGACCCACAGAAACTGCCAAATAATAAATGTTTGATTTTAAGCAGTTACATTTGGGGGTAATGTGTTATGTAGCTAGAGAGAACTAATATAGACCCCCTAGAATGACTACTATCAAAAAGACATCACTACCAAATGTCGGTGATGATGTGGAGTAACTGAAATCCTCAGACATTACTTGTGAAAATCTAAAACAGTATACCTACTTTAAAAAGTCTCGTAATTTTTTAAAAAGATAAGCTTATTGCTCAACTGAGCAACTTCACTCCTAGGAATCTACCTAAGAAAAATGAAAACATATTTCCACATAAAACTTGTATATAAATGTCCATAATAGTATTATTCATAATAGCTCATCAACTGATGAATGGATAAAAAAAATGATGTGGTATAGCTATACATTAGAATACTATTCAGCAATCAAAATACTATCAGCAAACTACTGATACATGCTACAATTCAAATGAGCCTCAAAACATTATGCAAACTGAAGGAAGCCAGATACAAAAAATTACATATCATATGATGCCATTCACAGTAAATGTCCAAAAAGGCAAATCTATAGAGACGGAAAGATCAGTGGTTGCCTAAGGCCAGGGGTAGGAGGGGGGTAAGCTGCAAAAAGACTTGAGGGAAATTTTGGGGGTAATGACAAGTCCTAAAACTGATACATGGCGATGGTTGTGCAACTCTATAAAGTGAATTATGCATCACTAAAGCTGTTTTTAAAAATGCCTAGAAATGAATTTATCAAGAAATATACAAGACCTTTAAGAATGTAACTATACCATTTTATTGAAGAACATATAATAAGACCTTAATAAAGACAGACTCATGTTTCTGGATATAAACATTTAATAGCATGAAAATATAAATATTTTCCATATATATTATATATGAATTTCTCATTAGAACCCTTGTGGTTCTGTATTAAAAAAAAATAATAACTCAACAGGGACACCTGGCTAGCTAGCCAGTAGAGCATGTAACTCTTGCTCTCAGGATCGTAAGTCTGAGCCCCACGGGGGTCATGGTGCCTACTTGAAATAATAATATTAATAAAAATAAAAATAATTTGGGGTGCCTGGGTGGCTCAGTTGGTTAAGCATCCGACTTCAACTCAGGTCATGATTTCTCTGTGAGTTCGAGCCCCGAGTCAGGCTCTGTGCTCACAGCTCAGTGCCTGGAGCCTGCTTTGGATTCCGTGTCTCCCCGTCTCCCTGCCCCTCCCCCACTCACACTCTGTCTCTCTCTGCCTCTCAAAAATGAATAAATGCTAAAAAAAAAAAAATTTTTAAAAACTCAATAGAATGATTCTAAAGTTTGCATAAAAGAATAAATGTGTATGAAAACATTACATTATAGGGGCGCCTGGGTGGCGCAGTCGGTTAAGCGTCCGACTTCAGCCAGGTCACGATCTCGCGGTCCGTGAGTTCGAGCCCCGCGTCGGGCTCTGGGCTGATGGCTCAGAGCCTGGAGCCTGTTTCGATTCTGTGTCTCCCTCTCTCTCTGCCCCTCCCCCGTTCATGCTCTGTCTCTCTCTGTCCCAAAAATAAATAAACGTTGAAAAAAAAAATTAAAAAAAAGAAAACATTACATTATATGTTATATATTAGAATATACTTACATAAAATTCCTAAAAACCTGTTATGTCCTGTTATAATGTTATCAGTCATAATTTTAAGATGTATGTCACAGAAATAACCAAATTCTCTTGTCACCTGCAATATAATAAACTCTCTTGTCAACTGCATTCTAAGAAACACATTATCAGATCTTGAAATAAAAAGAATAAACGTGTAACATATTACGAAAACTGTTGTCTAAACCACTATACCAGAGACTGTTTTTTTTAAAAAGTGCTACCATCTCTTCAAGGATACACCATTATATCAAGAAGGTACACTTCAGTTAATTAGACAGAAAACCTACCAGGCCATATAAAGCAGTTTCACCATAAAAAGGTATATGAACGTGAACCTGTCTGGCATTGGTGTGTTATTATGTGTGCAGGGGAGAGTGAGTAAGGTTTGGATTTAACCATGTACGCATGTAAATTTATCTGTGAGGCATTGTATAATCTCAAAAAAAATTTTTTAACCTAGGAGGCAACAATACTTCTTTAATGCATGATTACTAAGTAGAATAGAAAATAATGGATTTTTAAATTAATGCTTTCCCATATGATGTTAATAACAGGATTCAGGGAAGGAGGGGAAGACAGTGGATAGCATATGGTCCCTGTTTGCCCTGCTATTGTTGGAAGGACATGAACTCTACCCAACAGGTTTCCAATTATTTGCTCAATTATGCAATGTATTAGCCTGATCCTCAACTTATAGGAAGGCAAGCTTAGCAGAGAAGGGTGGAGACCTTTCCAGGGCCTACAGTTGATTTAATTCCCGATGGCCCAAAAGGAAGACAGGAATGGTCAGTGGGGAGAGGAGGGAGAAGGGCCAAGTATGTGGAGGACAAGTGGAGGAGGAAAGGGGGCTGAGCTGTCAGTGTTATAGCACAAACAGGCAGCTGGGGCAGTCTGTGCCAGGGACAGGTACGATATTTTCAGAGTGTGTTCCTTATACACTTGGTAGTTTTAAAGTCTTGGTAATTTTAAATTCACTTAGCTGTACCTACATAGTCTGAGCGCTGGATCTCTGTCCTTGTGACCCTACCAGTGTTC